GTGGGAGTTAAAATAAAGATTTGTAAACATCATAAATGTCACATTAGATATTTTCCAGAATCCACAATAATGTGCGGGGAAAAAAAATCGAACGTGCATGTACACCACATCCCCCACACGGTAAACATTCCCATGTGTAGATGTGCAAAATAGTGCATTTTGTGTTGTAATACATGTGCTTCATTTGGTATCAAGGACCGGATAAAAGAACACGATTGTTCTTCGGGGGGGAAAAAAGGTTAATCTTGAGCATAATCCATTCATTGTAATTAATGTGTACTTGTGCTTCTACTAACAGGTGTCAGGCAAGAAGAAAGGCTGCAAATTTATAATTTAGACAAGCAAAGTAGTAGAGTTTGCACAGTGCATTTTGATTAGAAGCTAAATATGCCCTTTGTCATGTATCTTAAAAATAATTAGAGAGCAAAATAATATTGTTTTTGTATGCAGATGGTCCTGTTAGAAAAGTCAAAGAAAAAGGAATATTACACCATCCCACGAGAGGAGTGTGATAGTCTAAAATAAAGAGAATCAGAATTATAAAGATTAATGTGTGAGGGGGGAAAAACTTGGATATTCGCTGAATAAGAATGGAAGACCTGTAAATACTAGCATAATTTGAAATCAGATTTATCAACAAGATAATACCTGTGATTTTAGACCAAGTTTACCTTATTATTATCACTGCCGTTGAGCGTTCAGACAGAGAACTGCCTTTAATTGCACTTTCAGAGAAATAAATATAATAAATGAATGAGGTGGTGGCATTTGTGTATTGGGAACTTCACTGGTTTCATTATCCAAACTGTTGCGCCTTCTCACAAACATCGTCATATTTAGATCTGTGGTGTGATGAGGTCCGTCTTTGCAAAGTGAAACACGAACAAAAAACGTCTGAAGTTGGTAAATTCAGTCAAGCACACCCCGCCCCTAACTGGTTTTATGACTTTATGATCTCAGTTTCTTTCTCTTCCATTGATCTTTTATTGACCCTTACTGTTAGTCACACAATTACATTTACAGAACTAACTTTAAACAGAAGACCGGCATTTATTTACTATGGATTACTCTCTGTTTTCCAGACATTGACGAGTGCAGTTTGCAGACACACACCTGCTGGAATGACAGTGTGTGTGTGAACCTCCCAGGAGGCTATGACTGTGTGTGCACATCTGGTCCAGGCTGCAGTGGTGACTGCCCACAGGAAGAAGGAATGAGGCGCAATGGAGAAGATTGGAAACCCAGCTTTGATCGCTGTGCTGTATGCTCCTGCAAGGTATAGAACATGATGACGTGCATACACATTTATTGCAATAAGCGATACTGTTGTTAACAGTGGATTTTTTTTTTTTTGAACTTCAACCAGGAACTGAAAGTGATCCATAATCTTGTCTCTGACCTCCCATGAATGAGTTTTTATTATGACCAGGTGTATTATGGGTGGATCATAGCTTTTTGGTCATCCAAGGACAGTAAAAAAATATATAAAACCATGTGAGCACCAGTCAATAGTTTGACATTCAATTCAATGCAGTTAAATTTTTATTTATATATTGCTAAATCCTTACACCTCAAGGAGCTTTATATTGGAAGGTAAAAACCCTATAATAATAGAGAAATGACTCCCAGACTAGATTGATTTTAAATTTGATTCTGGATTTAATAGGTAGCTGATGAAGAGAGGCTAATATAGGTGATAATGCTCTCTCTTTCTAGTCCCTGTCAGTACTCTCACTGCTGCAGTTTGGAAATGAAGACTTTATAAGACACTTTAAAGACAACAACAACAACAACAATAATAATAATAATAATAATAATAATAATAATAATAATAATAATAATAATAATAATAATAATAATAATAATGAATTACAGCAGTTCAGCCTAGATGTGATAAATGCATGAACTAGTTTTCAGCATCACTCTGAGACAGGATGTTTCTAATTTTTTATGTTTTTATGTATATAAGACATTCCTTCTGTTTAGCTAATTGGTGTGTGTCATCTGGATTCATGGATAGATAAAGCTGGGTATCATCTGCATGCCAGTGAAAATGTATGCTGTGCCTTTCAGTAAT